TTGATAAGTGTTAAGCTTATGGAGAAGGATATCCACACGTTGCCTTCAGCAGAGGTAAGACTGTGATTAAATAGTGAGGCTTTATTGCACTCTGCGTAGTACTAGGTACATTCAACTGGTACGCAGACAAGTAGTGAGCTCTAACTCTGGGTCAGCTCCTCCCAAGAACAGTCCTGTATACCCTGATAGGCAGAGCTTGTGTTTGGAAGTCAGTTCAACTTTTCTACTCTTTATTTCCCTTAGGCAAAAACTGTTTTATAAATGGGGCAAAAGTGGAGATGTGTAGGAGTTAAGGTGGAAATGCAAATGATAGAGAATAGACACAATTTATTTCAAAAACTTCACATTGGTAATTTGGTTTATTGAAATAACACATCAGCTTATGGGAAACTTTCATCCAGCAATCTCAAATTGTCCAGTAATGCCAATTAAATTATTTTGGATTAAGAAAATTGACAACTGCACAAGTTACATGTCTTTGCTGTTGAACAAATTTGTAAGTTTTTACTAATTTAGTTTGCAGAATATTTCCAGGTGGAATTTTAATCACTGATGGAATTTTTCCGCCCTTTCATGACTGGAGCATATATGCAATATTCAATCATGTAGTGATGCCTGCATAAGCTGCTTATTTTATAAGTAGGGATATGTTTCTGGTATTCTTACCTCATAGAATGGCTATGAAATCTATTCTGACATAAATACATTGCCCAACTCGAAGTGGCCGCAGCTTGATAAATGTTATATTTCTTTCCAATTTTGTGAGGTGACGTATCTTAACTTTCACCTGTTCCATCACTATATATTTTATAGAGCTTTTACCTTGTGAACGTTTGGTCTTGCATAGAATGTAAATTACTGAAATATAAATTTCAACTTTTTCATAGCATGGAAATTTGAGCCACACTGTGCAAGTGTCATTTTGTGAGATTGCTCATTCATAGGATATGTAAGTGTGATCGTGGAAATATCCTTTCAAATTGACCAAGCCTAGAAAGACCACAAAGAAGCAAAAACATTGATCGTAGACTTTAGAATACAAAACGAGGCCATTTGACGACTCATGTAAATTCATCGCTTTCAAATATATGTCCATCTCTGTTTTGAAACCTTGAATGGAATCTGCCTCCGCCACTCTCCCTGGCAGCACATTCAAAATCCTAACAAATGAGTAAAGAAGTTCTCCATCTCACTCCTAGCTCTCTTGCTGACGGTCTAGTGGAAACAATTCTGTGAGAATTGTTCATAATTTTGAAAACCTCAGCAACGTCACCTCTTAATCTTCTCTGCTCCGTGGGGAATAAGCCCCCGTGGGGAATAAGCCCAATATCTCTCCTCTTTCCTTGTATGTAAAATCCCTTATTTTTTGGTATCATTCTAGTGAATCTCCTTTTGAACTGTCTCCAGGGCTTTTAACATCTTTTCCTTAAATGAGGTACTCACAATTGAACACAAGACCCCAAATATGGTCTGACCAATGATTTCTAAAGGTGTAGCATCACTTTCTTGCTTTGTACTCTCTGCATCTGTTTGTAAACCCGAGGATCCCATAAGCCTCCTTAACGACTGATTCAACTTTTTCTGGGCACCTTCAGTGAATCATGCACATGAACCTTGATGTCCTTCTGCTCCTTCTGCTCGCATTTGCCTCACACTTCTCTGCATTGAAATTCAATTGCTAGATGTGTGCCGATTTGACCAACTTCTCAATGTCCCTCTGAAGTTGTTTAGCATCATTCACCATTCTCTGTAGCTTAGTATCTTCTGCAAAATATAAATAAAATGTTGTCAACACCCATCTCTGTGTGGAGATGCATTTAGTAACAGTGCAAAAGTTATTTCCTCCTCCATGTTATTTTGTTGGTATCTTAACGTGTATTGCCTTTTGCTTCTCTGTATTCATGTCTTTGTTTTGGCTTTATTAGGCGCAAGATGACAAAACCAAAAATTTTGTTTGTGCACTGTTGCAGAACACCTGCGAATCTCAGATGATTGTGTCTATGTAATCTTGAAGGAGTACTATTTCTCTCTACCATACTTCCATTGTTTTAATGTTTCCTTGGATTGAATACTAATGGTTAATGTGCTCGATTATTGGGGTGCACCTTTTATTTGCTCTGATCTGTCAAATTAATGTTTATTAACATGTATGTCTCCCAAATTCTTTGTTTTCAGTATTGGATATTTTATGACCCCGTTGTGAAATAACTTTTCTTTTGAAGTGAGTGTTTTGACAAACTAGATGAGTATAAAGTGGTGGTTGAATTTTCATTTTATTGGATACTTTGCTTCTCTCAGAATATGCAGCAGATGTTTCAAAAATCATGCTAGTTCTTAACTACTTTTTTTTGCTGTTTGTGTTTATCTTCCTTCTTAATTTAATTGCTATTACGTTCTGCTTTAAAGTGTTGTTGGTCAATCTAAATTCTTTCGCACTGCCTGTAGCCATGTTTTGTTAAATATTGAATAAATGTGACTTGAAGTAATTAGTCTCTATTCTTTTATTCTCCCCTTTGGAAAACTAATCAGGATTGAAACTTGTTTAATGGAGAGTCCATATCAAAATATGCACTGCAATACTGTATTACCCACTAACTTTGCAATTTACAATTTGCTGGTTAGTGTTTGTGAGAAAATTATGTTCTCCACTTTTTTCTTCAAAAATTGTATGTTTATTTTTCTTCAAAATCTCAATTAATCATCCAAATAGCCTTTGAAAGAACAGATTTAGACCTAAAATTTCATCATTTCAATGATCTAACACACAAGCCTAAAATTACTGAGCCTGAGGGGCCATTGTTTTATGATTGATCTATTAGCAAAGCTTAACTTTGAATTCTGCTTATAATTGTTTGCTGAAGATCTTTTGCTGAGCTGTTTTAGCATTCGTGCTGTTGGCGTGCAATATTCCTGCTTGCATTCTCTGTATTCATTTGTTGATTTTGCTACATTCTTTTTTTATTTGCCATGCTGTTCAGCCTTTGGATGCAAGGAGATCAAAGGTTTGTGTTATGTTTGCAACAGCTTAGTTTGCACAACATAAAATAATGCAGATTTTTTTCTTGTTCTGGTGATCTGTGGAGCTTTTGTGATTGTGTATTTTATTTTATACAATATTAAATGGTGAAGTCTTATTGGTGAGATTATTGGATTACGCCTTTCAGTAACTGTCCACACTAAAACAGATTTTTCACTTGTAAAACCATGCGAGAAATTTATTTAACATCTAATTGAGAAATTTGTTTAACGTAAAATTGAGTCCGAGGAATGAATGTGCTGATGGGTCCCATGTTCGTTAAATTCAGAATTCAAAGTTTGAAATTTTAGGTGTAATCTAACATTGCACCCTTTTCTGTGTCCCAAGAAAATACCAGATTTGATAAGCAATGGACTTTGCGTTCTTTATTAAAACTCTATGCCTGATACATTAGAAAAATTGTTTTAATTTGGAAACTCTTACTGAAAATGTTGCTAAATTTGCAGTCCTAAACAAAACCTATATTCTGCATTTGAGAAATTTTTATTTGCTGTCAAATATGGTACAAGGGATTGCAATATTCCAATTCAGCTGTGAGAAATCTTTGTTTGATTTTAAGTGTACATATTTGGTCTTAGAACGAAATGACTAAAATATTGAATTAAATCTGCAAGAAATCTGCTGGATTTTCTAGTTTTCTTTGGAAAATCAAGTTAAAATTGTCTTAACACCAATAATTAACACATTCACATTTGATCTTGTAGCAAATAATTGTAACGATCTGTTAACAATTTTGTAGTTTATGATAAGCCACCTGGTGGCAATGCATTATATAAAGCACTGATTTAGGCTTTGAAACAAGGGCAGAGTATGGAGAAAATCAGCAGGTCTGGCAGCATCTATAGGAGAGAAATAGTTAATATTTCAAGCCCAAGATGACTTTTCAGAACTGAAGAGTCACATTAGACTCAGCAATAGCTCTGTTTATCTTTTCATAGATGGTGTCAGAGCTGCTGAGTTTCTTTTAGCATTTTTATTTTTATTTCAGGTCTCCAGCACATGTAGTACTATGCTTTTGTTTGATGGTTTAGGTTCTATTTGGTTTGGCATCAGAGTTGGAAATCATTTTGATTTATGTAAAATTAGGATTTTGCTAGCATGATAATTTCAATGGTTGTATTCCTAACAAAAGTTTGCAAATCTGTAGCTGTCCTTTTGCTTTCCTTGCCTCAATAGCTCTGAGTATTTTTTTAAAAAATATATGAACTTGATGACACAAAATGGGGTTGATCAGTTTCTGTTGAAAAAAAGAGAGAATTGACTTCAGTCCATTAGCCCCGTGCAAATTATAGCTTTTTTGGATGGATTAAGTAGTCATGTTGATAGTTAGGGAGAATAATTGACTTTAATAGAGAAAACACTTGCTTTTTGCCAGTTGGGCCAGAAGATTTTGATAGTATGTGGCTTTCAAAGAAGATAAATTTGCATTTCAAACAAAGTTACGTTCTGAGTATAGGAATCAGAACTACTCTTGTCATTTACAATAAGAAAAATTTATTTGTGATAGTTAAGGTGTGAAACTTACCATTTAATGCATGTTAATGTTAAAACTGAATCATTCTTAACCGTAAAGCTTGAATAACATGGAGAATGCAGATATGAATCAAGATTTGGATGTTTAGGTACTTTAAAGTTAATTGATGTAGAGTGTACCTCTCCATATTATTCAAGCATTTGTCTATTCTCCAAACAAATTGCTTTTTATGTTAAGGTTGTAGAGTAAAGAGTTTGGAGGTGATGTATAATTTCCACTCTGACTGGTAAGAATTATTCAAGCTTACAAGACCTTTGGAATCCTGTTGTGGTACAAATTGCTGTTAGTGATTTTGATGTAGAAATGCAAATAGCCTTGAAATAGATCAAAATTGATGGTATTAAATTTCGTTTTGTAGTTCAATCCATTCAGTGTGTTTTTGAATGATTTCCTTAAGTTTTGAGCAATCTCTTTTCATTACTTCTGCAGCACCTACAGTTGACCATCCAAGCATTGCAAGATGAACTTCGAACCCAACGTGATCTTAATCATCTTCTTCAGCAGGAAAATGTTAATCGAGGTGCTGAGCATTATACCATTGAGCTCACTGAGGAGAATTTTCGTAGGTTGCAGGCAGAACATGAGCGACAAGCGAAAGAGCTTTTTCTTTTGAGGAAGACTTTAGAAGAAATGGAACTAAGGATTGAAACACAGAAACAAACGTTGAATGCAAGGGATGAATCAATTAAGAAGCTTTTAGAAATGTTGCAGAGTAAAGGATTGCCATCCAAATCTATGGAAGAGGAACATGAAAGAAGTCGGAGAATATCTGAAGCAGAATCTCAAGTTAATCATCTGGAAGTCCTACTGGATCAGAAAGAAAAAGAAAACAATCATCTTAAAGAGGTAGGCTTTATTATTTAATACTATTGCGTTTCACCAAACATGTTTCATTTGAAGCCGATCCAGTTTGTTTTCATTCAGTAAATCCATCTCTTCTGGTCATCCTTCCATAGGAAGGATATTATTAAATGGGAAAGGATGCAGAAAACATTTAGAGACTGGGACTGGAGGGCTTGAGTTATAAGGAGAGACTTGATAGGCTGGGATTTGTTTCCCTGGAGTGTAGGAGGTTGAGGGGTGCCTCGTGGAGATTTATAAAATCATGAGGTGCATAGATAAGGTGATTTGCAAAGGCCTTTCCCCTAGGTTAGACAAGTTCAAAATTAGAGGGCATGGGTTTAATGGGAAAAGGGAAAGATAGAAAAGGGACTTGAGGGGCAGCCCCCTCACACACAGGGTGGTGCATATGTGAAACGAACTGCCAGAGGAAGTGTAGATGCAGGTACAGTTAAACATTTAAAAAAACATTTGGACAGGTACATGAATAGGAAAGATTTAGAGGGATATTGGCCAAACACTGGCAAATGGGGCTATTTTAGTTTGGGAAACCTAGTCAGCATGGATGCGTTGGACTCAAAAGGTCTGTTTCTGTGCTGCATGACTCTGACCCCATGGTTGAATCCAAGTCAGAATAACTTTGAAGCCATGTACTGAAGTCAGATATTTTTGTGACAACTAAAATAACTTTTGTAATATTTTGATTTTATTTGGCAAAGCTTGTAAAATTAGAAAAGTTCTGGGAACTGGATACTGCCCTGGGATTGAAACAGATTTTTTTTTGCCCGAGACCTGGGACAGAGGTTTGCTTGTGACGTGGAAATAATTTGGGCACTCTTTTTCCTATTCCTGATCGGAATAAAGGTATACAAATATTGTCCTTAATTGAACAATGACTGGCATGCTTCCTGAGAGAGGTCACAGGATGGCAGTTTTGAAAAATTCACTACTTTCTGGTTGTGCCAAATGTGATTTGGCAATTCTAGACACTGACACCATGGCTGAAATCGGAAGAATTCAATTCCCCGGTACTAATTGCCCAAAAAGGAAACAAAAGTTAATTTGAGAGTCATATGTTTGCACTTTCCTCAAGTAATTTTTTGTAATAACTATTCGTGTATTTTCAGTAAACTTTTTGGGTAGTTAACGTAAAAGCAAATGGTAAGGTGAAGTCAAATGCTGCGCAAGTGTTTATGTTTGCAGAGGAGGGTGGAAATGGAGAGTATGATCGGACAAAACATCTGATCAAGTCTTGCTGAAATAATTTCATTAATCCTGAAAGATTGGGGAAGTGCATGCAAAATACGATGGATCGCACAGGGACAATATTGTTATCTGTATGGTTACATTTTGGTAGGAGTTCCCAAATGGTAAGTCACAACCTTTAGTGGTGTTATGGCTTGAGCAATTGTGGATGCAAGCTCTGAGGTAACAATGGCCACTGTGGAGTGGAAATCAGAAATTTATGTTCCTGGTAGAGGCCGAAAGGTCCCTTGAAATGCATAGGACTTTTTTTTTTGCTTGTTGGCCTGATTTTCTGATATCAGAAGAACCTGAAAAAGGGGCTAAGTATCTTTAGTCGTTTTGTTGTCTCTGCTGTGTGAAACTCCACCCCATTGAAGAACTATCACTCATTGTCTCTCCCTGTCTCTCTTACCGCCAACCCCCTGCTCCTGCTTTCACTCTGCTATTGCACAGTGTGAATTGTTCAAATGGACCACATCAGAAAAAGATGTAAAAAGCACTGCACTATTGCACAATCATTTCATAGTTTGTTTTATAAACATTTTTTATTTAAGGCAAGGCATTAGAGACTGTGTGTGTTTACCTCAGCGTCAGCAACGACTCCTATAATGTTTAGGGGAGATCTGAAACTTTGAACAATCTGCTTCCATTGCTTTCACATTCCAGTCTCTGTTTCCTTTCCATACCCTGCACCTAATCATCATTTCTGCAATATATGCAGCTTTCTTCCTTAATCTGCTGTTCCCTGCAAAATATTTCTTCGATCTATTTATGAAAATAAAATTGAAAATAATTTGGGTGGGGCCAAGCCATTCAAGGAAAATGAAATTCTCCCCTGGACTGGACTTGGAATGTAACTTCAAATGGCAGCAATATTTGAGATTGGGATGTATAATTAAACTTGGTTTGCCCTGGCCAGTCCCACTGTGCCGCTGTGTGTGAGAGAGAGGAAAATGAAATCCATCATTTCAGAATACTTTGGAAATCATCAACTTTGCAATTTGGGTTTAAGTAAAATCTTTTTAACTCTCTCAATGACCTAAATACTCCTTGCTCAATGTTTCTCAGATTTCTTTACCAACTCAAAACTATGGATCATTCAGCCAAGTGATACATAAATCTGATCTAAATTATGATTGTTTATTTTCTATACAGTGCTATCTGAAAGCCAGTTATAGTGCATGGATTATGTTGTAAGCCATAATTTTTGATTTGCCAAAATAGATGGCGCAATTATTTAGAGTTGGTATGCCCTTGAGTTTTTTTTTTGTGTTTTTGAATACAACTGAAGACTGTAATAAAGGGAATCATTTTCAGGCACGTATTCTTTGACATATGCTCTTTTCCTGTGTTTCTGCCAATTGTAGTCTGGCAGAGCATATATTTCCTTCAACCTCTGTTATGAACGTTTGTAAGCCTTCCAAATGGATGTCACATTTGTTGTAATCCTATACACTTGATCGCTGGTGCATTTGTTGAAAAATTGTGATGTGAATTTGGACTGCCACAGCCTTAATTTTTCAATTACATTTGATGACTGATTCGTTGGCCCAGACCTACAGATAAATGGTCAAGCTTTAAACCATGTGGTGGTATTGATGCATGCTTATATAGTTACAGTTGAAAAGTCAAGGCTAATTGGTTGGGCAGCAAAGAAATCTTGTACAGTTCCACTTGGGAAACCATTGTTGAAGTGCAGTAATTTTTTTTATTTGTGTCAAGGTTTTTTTTGCATACAAAGAATGAGTATTTATAGGACATGGAGAAGGAATGGAGATACACAACCCAGTTCACACTTAAAGCTCTGGAAATTAATTTTTAATTAATTGAAGAGAATGTGGGCATTACTGACTCAGCCAGCATTTATTGCCCATGTGAAACTGCCTTGGAGGAGGTGGTGGAAAGAAGCCATCTTGAACTATTGCAGTCCTTTTTGGTGTGTGACTGCATTGACAAAGGTGTTAAGGAGGCGATTCCAGGATTGTCACCCAGTGACAGTGAAGTAACAGTGATATATTTCCAGTTTGGATAGCGAGTGGCTTGGACGAGAACTTGCAGCTGGCAGTCTTGCCATGTCTGCTGCCCATGTCCTTGTAGGTGATAGTGACCATGGATTTGGCATGTGCTATGACTTGAACCTTTGTGACCAAGCTGCACTGCCACTTGTAGATGGTATACACTGCTGTCACTGTGAAGGGATTAAATGTTGAAGGTGATAGATGGCACACTAATCAAGTGAGTTGTTTTATCCTGGATGATGTCAAGCTTGTATTGTTGGAGCTGCACCCATCCAGCAATTGGAGTACTCTATCACACTCCTGTCTTGTGCCTCATGGATCTGCTCCTGAGGCCACCGTATTTATGTAGCTAGGCCAGCCCAGTTCAGTTTCTGGTCTGTGGTATTGTTAGAGGACAGCGATGATAATGCCATTGGACATTTAAAAGGCAATGGTTAGATTATTTCTTGGTGGTCATTGCTTGGGATTTTTGTGACAGGAATGTTACTTGCTTCTTAGCAGTACAAGCCTGGATATTGTGCAGCTCGTGCTACAGACAATAGGCAGTTTCAGCATCTGAGAAGCTGCAAATGGTGCTAAACACAAGTGATCATCCTATTTCTGACCATTATGATGGAGGAAAGAGCATTAATGAAGCAGTCGAAGATGGCTGGGTGTAGGATATGAAGCCAAGGAACTCCTGCACTGATATACTGGTGTTGAGATGATTGGCCAAATTGGATGTGTTCTGCTTTTTATAGACAAGCCATGATTGGGCAATTTACCATCCTGTCAGGAGATGCTAGTGTTGTAACTGCACTTGAAGAGCTTGGCTCGGGGGCAGTTATTTCTGGAGGACAAGTATTCAGCACCACAGCCGGAATACTGTCAGACTGTTTCTGTTTCTGTGTCTATTGTGCTCAGCCATTTCCTGATATCATGTGGAGTGATTCAGAGTGGCTGTGGATTGGCATCTGTGATGCTAGAGGCCTTGGGAGGAGGCAGCGAAGCATTTGTTAAAGTATTGCATAAACATGATTTGCCTTAAGTCACCAATGGCTTAGTGACTGTAAAAGTTAGAGTGGACAAGCACTTCTAATTCTTTCCAGATACAGGTTGCCATTGCTTTGCCTTTTGCAACTAACAGTACAACAAAACCATAATTCTCCCTGAGCCTTTCTCAGGTATTGATCTAGTTGTCCTGTGGCAATTTGCTTTCTCCTCTGATAGCTTGCAGTTTTTTTTTTCAGGGAAAACCAGTCTACCACATCCTCCACAAAGCTTTTTTTGTTGCCACCCACTGGAAATCTATGATGCAGATAAGAACAAGGATCGTAAGCATAATTATGCATGATTATCCATAGAACTAGGGGAAAGAAATGATTATCTTAAGCAGAAAGCCCCTCTAATTATCTCCTATTATTAGAGATGTGAAATCTGTCAGAAATCATGAAAATTAGGACATTTTATTGATTTAATTCTTAATTGGCTTTGATTTGAGATGGCATCAAAAGCATCCCCTCTCTTAGATTACACCATAACTATAGTAACTGGGTCATGTGATTAAATTCTACAGAATAAAAAAAATTGAAATGCAATAGTGAATCATCTACCAATTAGGGAGACCATAGTTTGGGTACCTTTTGTATGTAACATAAATTGCTGGAGAAACTCAGCAGGTCTGGTAGCATCTGTAAAAAGAAAGCAGAGTTAACATTTTGGCTCCATTCTGAAATAGTCACTGGACCCAAAACATTAACTGATTTCAATTCACAGATGCTACCAGACGTGCTGAGTTTCTCCGGCAATTTCTGCTTTTGCTTTGGATTTCCAGCATCTGTAGCTCTTTGTTTTAGTTTACCTTTGGTACAGTTCTGAACTTTGCTGCAGGTAGAGTGATGGGCGGAGACACTAAACATTATTTAGTATAATGCCTAGTATGAGGAAAAACAAAAGCAAGTAAAATACTGTCAGTTGTAAAGTTGACAAATCCCAGAATCTGATGATTTACGTTCCAGAGTGTTGAAAGAGATAGTGGAAGCGTTGGATCATCGTTCAAGATTCCAAAGATTCTGGAATGGTTCTGCAAATTAGAAGATTATGAACGTAACCTTTTTATTTCTGAGGACAGAGAGGGAAAATGGGAGGGGGCTATCGACCTTATGGATGTTAGGCTAACAGAAGGCAAATACTCAAATCTGTTGAGGGATTGGATAGCTTCATATTTGGGAAAACAATGGTCTGATTGGTGGGCAGTTACGTTTCACAAACTTATTGGAGTGTTTTTTTTTTTTGAGTAGTCACCAGTAGAATGATAAAGGGAAGCCACTGGATATGGTGCCTGTGGATTTCCATAAGACTTCTGATAAGTCCCACATAAGAGTTAATTAAAACAAAATTAAAGCATGTGGGTAAGGAAGTAATATATTGGCATGGATCAAAGATTCCTTAATGGAAAAGAAACAGTTGGAATCATTCGCAGTATGTGACTGGTGTGGTACCACAAAGCTCAGTGCTTAGACCCCAGTTGATCATAATCTGTATCAATGTTCTGGATGTAGGAACGAAAAATAACATTTCCAAGTTTGTGCATGACCCATAACTTGGTATGATGTGCAAATGGTACAATGTAGCATAGAACGTAGAACATTACAGCACAGTACAGGCCTCGATGTTGCACCGACCTATGAAACCAATCTGAAGCCCATCTAACCTACACTATTCCATTATCATCCATATGTTTATCCAATGACCATTTAAATGCCCTTAAAGTTGGCGAGTCTACTACTTTTGCAGGCAGGGCATTCCACACCCTTACTACTCTGAGTAAAGAACCTACCTCTGACATCTGTCCTATATCTATCACCCCTCAATTTAAAGCTATGTCCCCTCGTGCTAGCCATCACCATCCGAGGAAAAAGGCTCCCACTGTCCGCCCTATCTAATCCTCTGATCATCTTGTATGTCTCTATTAAGTCACCTCTTAACCTTCTTCTCTCTAACGAAAACAGCCTCAAAACCCTCAGCCTTTCCTCGTAAGACCTTCCCTCCATACCAGGCAACATCCTGGTAAATCTCCTCTGCACCCTTTCCAATGCTTCCACATCCTTCCTATAATGTGGCGACCAGAACTGTATGCAATACTCCAAGTGCGGCCGCACCAGAGTTTTGTACAGCTGCAACATGACCTCATGGCTCCGAAACTCAATCCCTCTACCAATAAAACCTAACACACCGTACGCCTTCTTAACAACGCTATCAACCTGGGTGGCAACTTTCAGTGATCTATGCATATGGACACGAGGATCTCTCTGCTCATCCACACTACCAAGAATCTTACCATTAGCCCAGTACTCTGTATTCCTGTTACTCCTTCCAAAGTGAATCACCTCACACTTTTCTGCATTAAACTCCATTTGCCACCTCTCAGCCCAGCTCTGCAGCTTATCTATGTCCCTCTGTAACCTGCAACATCCTTCTGCACTATCCACAACTCCACCGATTTTGGTGTCATCCGCAAATTTACTAACCCATCCTTCTACGCCCTCGTCCAGGTCATTTATAAAAATGACAAACGGCAGTGGCCCCAAAACAGATCCTTGAGGTACACCACTAGTGTACCAGGATGAACATTTCCCATCAACCACCACCCTCTGTCTTCTTACAGCTAGCCAATTTCTGATCCAAACCATCAAGAAGGTTTGAAAAGGCAGAGTGGACAAGGGCATGGCAGATAAAATAGAATGTGGAACATGTGAGGTTATTTGCTTGGACGGAAGTCAAGAGGTGTGGATTACCTCAAATGATGAGAGACTGGGCAGTGTTGATGTCTGAAAGGACCTAGGCTTCCGTGTCCATAAATTGCTAAGTGCAAGGATGGCAAGCAGTTCCAAAGGCAAATGTTAGCATTGGTTTTCAGTGCTAGAGGATTCGAGTATAAAAAAAGTAAAAATGGTTTGCTTGAGTTCTCTCATGGTGAATCTACACCTGGAGTATTGTGATCAGTTTTGCTTTCCTTACTTCTGGAGATTATACTTGTTATTTGAAAGAATACAGTGCAAGTTTACCAGACAATTTCCAGGGGGTGTGTGTTGGTCAGGAGCTGGGTGGTTTGAAATAAGTAAGGAGACAGTTGAACAGTTACTCAGGAATTAGACTTTTCCTGAGTAACTATTTTACTTAATTTCATCAGAACCATCTGAGGTCTCTGATTGGAAATGGGGACTTTTTAGAGGGTTCCAGGCATTGACCAGTTGCCCAGCAGAAAATGCAATTTCCTGGTATTTCCTTCAGTGTGCTATAGTGGGAATTTCACAGGGTCCTCGTGTGCAACTCTGATTTACGCTCATCTAACTGTCTGGCCAGAGTCATAGAATCAAAGAACATGGAAACAAACCCTTCAGTCCAACGGGTCCACGCTGACCATAATCCTAAACTACACTAGTCCCACCTGCCTGCACTTGGCTCCTATCCCTCCAAACAATTCTTATTCATGTACTTATCCAAATGTCTTTTAAACGTTGTAACTGTACCCACATCCATTATTTCCTCTGGAAGTTCATTTCACACATGAATCACTCTCTTGTTTTTTTAAAAAAAAATTGTCCCTCATCTTTTTTTTTTAAATCTTTCTGCTCTCGCCTTAAAAATATGCCCCATAGCCTTGTAATCCCCCACCCTAGGGAACAGACACCTGCTATTCACCTTATCCGTACCCTTCAAGATTTTTTATAAACCTTTTGAGGTCAGCACTCGACCTCCTATGCTCTGGTGAAAAATGTCCCAGGCTGTCTGTATAACTGAAACCCTTCATTCCCAGCAACAACATGGTAAATCAGAGGAATACCTGGGCTATCATTTTCAGTGATTGAAAGATCTTAGAACAGGGAAGTTTTAGTAGAAGTTGAAATACAATACATTTTGGGAGAAAGGGGGAATTATTTTGAGGTTTATACATTTGGATTGCACAACTGAAGTTCTCTGGGAGTGTCATAAGGACATTAAGCAGCATTGGTTGAAGTCCTATGTTAGGAACATAGGGACAGGATTAGGCCATTCAGCCCATCTGCATGCCGTGCCATTCAGTACAAACATGGCTGATCGAACACTTCAATATCTTTTCCTCAGACCATCCCCATAACCATGGTTTGCCACTGTTTATCAGAAATTTGTCAATCTCTCCCTTAAACATAGCCAAAGACTGGGCACCCACAGCCCTCTGATAGAGTTCCCAGTACCTCGAGTAAAACCATATCTCCTTATCTTGGTCTTAAATGGCATCGTCATTGTGTTGAAATATGCCCCCAGTCTAGACTCTCCAGCTTGGAGAAGTATCTTGCCTGCATCTACCATGTCTATCCTTAAGGTATTTTTCAGGTTTTAGTGTGATCACGTCTCATTGTTTGAAACCCTAGAGAACACAGGCCCAGTTTGCTCAATTCCTCCTATGTAGGATTGTTCCACCATTCCTGGAAACAAGTCTGGTGAGCCCCTGTTGTTCTGTATCTATGGCATTAATATATTTACTGAGCTAAAGAGCCTAAAATGACACACACACAGTATTCCAAGTGTGGTTGAATCAAGCTTTATACAACTGAAGCAAGACTTCTGTACGTCCTTATTCAAACCCTCCTGCAATAAAGGCTAATGTTGCATTAGCCTTTCTTCTATATTGCTGCATCTGCGTATTAGCCTCCTTGACTTAGAACATAGAACATCCCTGAACACTATGGACAATTTGGCATGGCCAGTCCCCCTACCCTGCACGTTTTTGGACTGTGGGAGGAAACCAGAGCACCCGGAGAAAACCCACGCAGACATGGGGAGAATGTGCAAACTCCATACCGACAGTGCCCGAGGGTGGAATTAAACCTGGGACTTCTCAACAGGACATATAAGTTCCTTTGTACATCAACTCTTTACAATCTCCAACCATTTAAGAAATGCTTGGCACATCTGTTTCTCCTACTGTAGTGGATAACCTCACATTTTTCCACCATTGTATTACGTCTGCCGTTTTCTTTTTCCATTCGCTGAGTCTTTCCAAATTCGAATTTCTAATTCGCCTTCTTTCATTCTAAGTACCTCAAATATTGCATGTTATGAATAAAAATCATTTGTTTTTGCATGTGAAAATGTGGAGAGGTTGAAATATTTTATGAATAAAGATTAATATGCAGCTATTTCTAGATACCAGCAGCTGCTGCAGCAGTTTGTTCTAATTGTTCTCTGGATGACTTCTACCATCCAGACTGATATCCCCATTTAGTTTTCTTCTGAATAAAGAGTTGGAGTTTGCTAAGAGGAAAAACTTGCTTTAGCAAGGCTAATTGAGGAAAAAAAAACTCTATTTGCCAATCCTGCCACGTGCAACTCATTGTACATGGTGAAGCAATGTGTGGAAAATGAAAATTAAACCAAACAGCTCATTTTAACACTTTACTGAAAGATGATGGTTGAATATATATCCAAAGGAATATGAAGTTTGCATGCTGTTTTTCACTGATTCGAGGCATGGTGGACAGGAGTTTCCAGCTTCTGCCCTGGTGAGAAAAATGCTGGGTCAAAGCCAATAATCAGATGCTCGCCAATAATCAGATGCTCACCATTAATATAAATTTTGATAAGTTCTCACCTTCAGGTGGCAGGTTGAATATGTTGCTAGCAGGTGGTGAGAAGCCTTTCTACATGAATTTGCATCTCATGAATACACAACTCTCAGAAATAAACTTTTGCACTTCCAATCTAGAAACTGTGTTTCAAACATATCAGCCAAAACCAGGCATGTGTCTGATCAGATACACGTTTTGCCCAGAGATGTGTTATGTACTTGTTGCTCTGTCTTTATCGTGCTATGGTTATAAATCATACCTACTGTCACCCGTGCTGTCACTTCTTGAAGTCAGTGAACATGTCTAAGTGGGCTCATACAGCACATTTTCTTTGGTCATCTCTAATCTTAATTGGCATACAGCTAATATGACTGAACAGCAAGAATTAGCGCACATCGCAGAAGGGTGCTCATAGCTGAGTCACGTGGGGCTTCAAAAACGGAATTGGCATTGCCTGAGGAACATGGAAAAGTGGTAAAAGGAAGGATGGCAAGCATGTTGGGCAAGGGTGTGCTCACAGGTCTTTTGTTGGTTGGATAAGTGGAGTAGCCGTGATTGTGGTGGTATATGCTGTGATCCAATCAGTTTGGTTACAAGCGAGAGGTTCCACTTAGTCTGGGGGCAGGAATCCTGTGTGCCTGAGGTGGTTGTTGTCGTGTAGTCACTCCAGGGTGGTGAAATGTCTGTTCAGAGCCTCCTGCATATGGAGGCCTACTAGTGCTAAGGTAGGGGCTGGGGGGGGGTTTGTTGAAGTGAAAGGACTGATCATGGGAATGTTTAGATTTATTGTGGGGGATTTGCTAGGTCAGGCTGGGAGCATACAATTTCATTGGGGGAGGGGGAAGACAGTCAAGGAAGGCCAATCTGCAGGTAAATTCAGTTGGTTTGGGTGTAAAGCTTAGCAGGGTCTGGAAGATCTCTCTTGAGGAGCATGTGGGGAAGATAGTGGACCATAATAAGATAACAAGGTGTGGAGCTGGAGGAACACAGCAGGCCAGGCAGCATCAGAGGAGCAGGAAAGCTGACGTTTCGAGCCAGGACTCTTCTTCAGAAAACCCTTCTGAAGAAGGGTCCTGACCCGAAACGTCAGCTTTCCTGTTCCTCTGATGCTGCCTGGTCTGTGGTGTTCCTCCAGCTCCACACCTTGTTATCTTAGACTCCAGCATCGGCAGTTCTCGCTATCCCTAGTGGACCATAATGCTGACAGTGATTGCCAGTGCAGTACAGAGGCAGGGGTAGGGAGGGTTATGGGGCAATAAAGATCACAAACTCATGAGGATGGAACAAGATTTTGAGGGGTGGGGTGGGAGGGGGATAAAGAGTCTGAGGCAATGGGGACTTGGTCCTGGGACTTCTGGTGTGTTGTGGTTATTGGTACTCAAATGTCCCAACAAGCAAGCTGAATCTCTCCTCCATGGTGAAGGTGCAACTCTATTGCAGTAGAAGTGGCTGCAGCCATAATGGGAGGTTTTATTTGAGAGAGGGGTGAATTGCAGTTGCATGCTTTGGACAACTTGAAGTGGCCCTATATCAATCAGGACTGTAGTGCTTGTGATCACATTTCAGTGAGATCTTTTGAAACTATAGATCCAAAGTATATTTTAGTCTGATTGACACCTCGTGATCCCTTGAATATGCAGCAAGGGAGGTTAATACAGTGCAAGCACTGTATGTTCTGCATCATGGTGGGGTGCAACTGCCACAGAAGGGGTAGGGCACCTTTTATGCCAAGGTTCTGCTTTAACCTCCCTAACAGCAAGTTGACTTGTGTATGGAAAGGGGCACTGGTTTGCTTTCAGTACAATTAGCATGCGAATGTCACATTGCTCATATGGTGTTGACCTTCTTAAAATCACAGCAGTGATAGGGTGGCACAGTGGTTCAGCGGTTAGCACTGCTGCCTCAGAGCCAGGGACCTGGATTCGATTCTAGGCTGGATGATTGCCTGTGTGGGTTTCCGCTGGGTGCTTCAGTTTCCTCCCATGGTCCAAAGATGTGAAAGTCAGGTGGATTGGCTTTGCTAAACATTACCCCATAGTGTCAGGGATACGCAGGCTAGGTGAGCTACGGGGATGGAGGGTGGGATTTGGGTGGGATGTTCTTTGGAAGGTCCGTGCAGACTTGATGCCCCACATCTATGTCAAGAACCTCACTCCAGGTGCCACTTGTTCTCTGAGGGGTACTGGACCACACTATCTTCAAAGGCCATGAGGATGCAGAGATTGGGAAGCGATCTCCTAGTCTGGGCCCTTTTCCTCACTGTTGTGCACTAGTTTGTCCTGCAGTGATAGAAAGGGAAGGGTACAGTGTGATCACAGCATGTGTATGAACACGTATAATCCTGCCAAGTGATGAACGCACCCCATGAAGTGAGTAGGAATCAGTGTCTGGAAAGAGTTTGAAGATTATCAGCCTAAGGTGGATGTCCATGAGATTATGCTGGCACGCTTATGTGACATGGCTGTCCAGTTAGAGTGAGGTGAGAGTAAATAATACCCTTTAGATTTGTAGAGCATAGGAGATCGATCGTTCATTCATTTCCTGCATTGGATCCCACTATGTTTGTGCTTGTTAGAGGTGCTGACCTCTTGTGCAACCTGGGTCCAAGCCACCAAAAGCCTGATGAGAGGGCTTCTTCTATTGATCATAGGAGACGCAGAGTTCCTTTTCTGCCCCAGGCAGCCTATAGCAGCAGAGTGCTGAGTGAACTATCTCTAAGCATGAAGTGGCACTTAGTCGCCATCTCTTTGGGATGGTGGAAATGTTTGCCATTCTCTTTTCTGGAGCTCCTGGCTTGCAGTGAAAAGAGAGACACCCAAGTGGCCATCAAATAATGCAGCTGAACCTTTCAACCCAGAAAGTGATGGTTGGGAAGAGAATATACAGCTGCCATTTGCTTGTGATTTGTTTGTGTTGCCACAGAACTCTCATTTTTTTTTTTGTAATGAGCTGAAGATTGGATGATTGTTTGAGAGAACCTGTCACAACATAGCAGATGTGTTGACATCTAAAATGTCTATTGCCATACGTTTTGGCCTATGTTTCTAATATATAAAATAGTTCTCTTAAATGAGACTCTTGGGTCTGTTTCAATTGTTTTGCTTTTAGCTGCCGTGTTTTACTGAAACTGAGCAATGCATCAATTTGCATTGTGATAGCTGAACTTGTATTTCTCCATGCATCTGGGATTAGTTATAATCAATAAGTTGTCTCCTTCTGTCTTGGCCTTCATCCTATGGAGAAAGTTTGTTTTTTGCCCTGGTATCTTATCTGAACAGGTGCATCATGTTTCTTTCAAGTTGCTTTGTCAGCAGGGAAAATAAATTATGCTGAGGCTATTCATTTTAATTTAAATTGTGGCAGTTGCACTTAAAGTTCACATGCACTTTTGTACAAAGCAAACTGATTTTTACCAGTTTGCAGAAAGACACTAGATGGCACTTTGTACATATTTAAATAGGTGGTTCGTGGACTTCAAACTGTAGAATTCCTTTGCCTGCACAGTTAAACAAAGTGTTGACTGCTTTTCAAGTGTTGCACTTTGATTTTATGCTTTTGCAGTTCATCATTAGTTATGTTGAATTGGATTTTAAGAAAATCTGCTTCTTTGTTTCCTTACCTTTGTGTGTTTGATTCTGATTACTTCTCTTATCATGATGAATTGGATACAAAAGGAGATTTGAGAGTAGCTGCCCTTTTTAATGTCAAGGTAGAATTTAGCTGAATTTGGCAGCAAAGAGTAAAATTGAAGTTCGTGGTATTATGTGAGTTATGCCCAACACATTTGATGGGAATTGAAACACAGAATGGTGGAAGTATTTAGGTCTGGTTGCATCTTTGGAAGCAAAAACAAAGTTAATGCTTCAGGTCAATGATATTTCATCAACCTGAAATGTTAACTCTGTTTCTCTCAGCCAGAACTGAATATTTCCAGCATTTTCTGTCTCCTTTATTTCCATTTCTAACATCCATAGTGTTTGGTGTTAGTAGAAGAAGAATGGGACTGGATGTCAATGTGGTCATGAAGTATCGTTTGGAAAAGATACTTGCTGTTTGGGCAAATGCCCAGGAATAGTACTGTTAAATTACAACGCTTTAGAGTTGAACTCTCTTGACACTTCTGGCAATGAAGTACCCCTTGCCAATCTACATCAGGAACAGAACATCTCGATGTAGGCTAAGTTCAGGGAAGATGTCAGACAATGTACAACTTGACAAAAAACCCATTTATGCCCTTCTGGTCTTGCATGGTATTAGAATGGAAGAGTTCCTTATCGTTGACATTTTGAATGTGATAACAGCACTTTACCCTCATTCAACTTTTTAAAAAATGTGGTATAAAAGTAGACAGGCTTGATAATCTGTGATCAGTTGCTCAAGGAATTTTAACTATTCAAGGGGTGTGACTTGGCCTCTTATTTTGGTGGTACAGGCATAAACAGATGCAAGACAGCGCTGAGCAATATTGAGCATCTTCAAATTATTTATGTTTTTTAAGATATTAACATCACATCCCCATGAGTGTAATTATCATAGCCCCCATAACATTTTCCTCATAACTCTAGGGTTTAAAAACAATCGTAGAGAGAAAGTTAGAGTAGTTAGGTTGAACTCTGAAAGGGTTACGGTAAAGTAATTAGCGATAGATTATTTCCACTGCTCAGTTACACTGAGATGACACATGTTAAAGGTATTCGCACAATTAAAGGTACTGTTATGTGTTAGCAAAGACTGCTATGTACAGTGTGTGCAACAATGGTTTACAACACACTTTTTAAAGGGTCTCAGTTTAAAAATGTTGAAAGAAATGGGCTGCATACATGGTCTAGATGGCTTTTGTACAAGTGAGAAAATCCTCCTGACTGACCTTTTTTTTTTATTGCATCATTCTTTGACTTTCAGTGCTCATTCTCATTTGTAAAGCTGGTTGT